AAAAAAAAATTGTCTATTGCCAACACTGTATACAGGTGGGCAAAGCAGAGGCATCTGCCAAGTGTGAGAGTGTTGTGTGACTTAAAAGCTCTCGTTTCATTTTGATGTGACATCAGGGAAGACGCTTGCCTGTGCTTCGTGCCTGCACTGTTGGCGATGCCACCCTTAGCTCAGCTTCTGTGCCCTCCATGGCTGGGGCTTCTCAGCCCCGCCCGTCCTCCTCTCCCAGACCCAGAGACTGAAGCCTGGTTTCTCTGAAAGGGACTGCTTGACTTACTCTTAAAGAAAAAGGCTCTATTGCTCTTGAACCTTTCAGATCTCAAAGTTAATGCATCTTCGTGCTATCTGTGCTGTCACATTTACGTATTTTGCTGTGTGTGTATAATGCATACTTTTTTGCCCATATTTGTGAGGGAAAAATAAGCATGCACATTATACATGGGTAGTACTAATTCCGCATCTATATAAATGTTTTTAATTCTTTTATTTATGTTTATGAGTTAAAAGTGTAACTCTAGAAATCAATAACAATACCCATATGCAAAATAATATGATAATCGGTTTTGTTGAACTTACAACGAACTTGCAACTACGAAGAGTTCTTGGCCTTCTGTGATGCATAAATATTGTAAATTTGTTACCAGTACATAAAATTTCTTGTACTTTGTATCTGTTCTTGTGTTTTGTAATGTATTGATACATACAATTTTTTGTACGTAATATGTTAAAAAATAAATGCTAAAATTTTTTATAATACAAAAAACAAGTACCTAAATAAATGTAAACAAATAAAAATTTGAATTAAAAAATTAAAATGAAAGATTCTTTTTCCCCCTGAAAGTTTGGGCCAAAAACGTGGTGTACATTATACACGGCAAAATACGGTAGTTCTTTATTGTGAGATTTTCACATCAACAGCATCGGTTATTAATCTAACACTTTTTTCCACTCTAGCAAGTCAAGCCAGAGATTTGTTATCAAAAATGTTAGTGATAGACCCTGACAAGCGGATCTCAGTGGATGAAGCTCTGCGTCACCCATACATTACCGTCTGGTATGACCCTGCCGAAGCAGAAGCGGTAAGCAGCTCTGGTGGGAAGACTTGTGTGTAGAGGCAGGACGTACATTTCCTTGGTCTTGTGTCTGTCAGTCTGGAATGGCTACCTAAGGAGAGCAAGTCCTAGAGGTCACGCAACAGGGTAGTACTTCGGGAGTGAACATGGCACGTGCTGCAGTAGCATAATCATCTTTATGGATGCAAATGCTGATGCGTGGTCATCATATCGCCATTTTTAAGCCTCCGTTGTGTACCTGGCACTGTGCCTTGGACTCTGCTTCCATCATCTCGTTTAGGCACCCAGTCAGTCTAAGACACTCACTGAAAATCACAAGTCTGTACTTCCCAGAGGTGCTGCTGGGGAGCTCTACTTGGGAGCTGGCTCAAGTGTGTTTCTCCGTAGCAGCACTGGTTTGGATGGTTTTTAGCTGTGGGTGCGAGAACCACGTAGTGGCATGCTTAGTTCATGCCATCAGTGACATCAAGACATTTTATGTCTTGGCCTATGGATTTAACCGCATTTTAAACAGTGTTTTATATGAAAAGAATCCGATATATAAACATGTAATTTTTAAGCAGATTTTTGGAACAGTGCATCAGTGAGTTGGGGGCTGGGTTTGGAGTTCTCGTGGGAAGAGCTGCAAGCCTGAATACTCCTGTGTTGTTTAGCATGGCTTGTCAGGTGGGTCTCTAGGAAGCAGTCTGTGATGACTCATTTTATAATTACATTCGAGCAGACATCTTTAGAGTGTTTTGAGGTCATGTGATTATAAAGGGAACCATATTAGCTCTATTTTCGTTTTGGTTAATTTTTTCTTAATTACTTTGATTCTGAAACTATTGTAATACCACACTTGTGAAGAAATCTTTCATAAGTCACGTTTGAATGAAATTACATTCATATTGTAAATACATTAGAAGTTTTCCAAGTGGTTCTACCTTTTTCTTCATGCCTCATTATTTTGTGAACTGTTGACTTTACATGTAATTTAATTTTTAGCCACCACCCCAAATTTACGATGCCCAGTTGGAAGAAAGAGAACACGCCATTGAAGAATGGAAAGGTAAGGACAGAGCTTATTTTGATCCTTACTTCTGAAATTACTTGAAGTCCTATAAAGGGGCAGCTTTGCACTTTCAACAGTAGCCTGTGGGAGCAGGATGAGAAACCCATTCTTCCCATTTCTCAGGACTTGAAGATAGCAGAATTAGAGGAAAAACATGTATGAATTATATATGATTTGCTTCAAAAGAAAAAAATAAGGGCTTTTCCACATGGTCTTGCATCGTCAAATCTTGGTTTATAAACTAAACTCAGTAATTGTATCACACTTACTTTGATAACATGTTGCAAAATGTTGAGTAACCCCAATTTACAGGCTCCTGTAAAGCAGCCATGGGGAAGCTGCCTGGGGTCATGTGAACTTCTGCTGTATTTTTAGGCTGAGTAGTTGTATATGTGTTTTAAAATAGAATTTGGGCAAAATTGTACATGAAAAATATGCAGATAGTTTTTATTGCCACTATAAGATTAACCAAACAACCCACAACAAACTAAATGAGCAATAAAAGAGCCCAATTCCCCAATAAAAAAGAGAGTGAGACCAAACTAGCAATTTTTCATTAAAAAGCAGAATCAGTAGTAATTGAGAACAATAATCAGCACAGGTCAAGCCTGGTGACGTGTTCAGCCCAAGGGCCCCTCAGTGCCAGTGACTTATGTTTGCTCACTCGCCAGGGCATTGCACACGGCCACCTGCGTGCACCCACACTCGGCAGGGCATTGCACATGGCCACACTTCATGGCAGAGGCTGGCTCATAGGCCTCGAGAAATGCTTGCAATGTGCTCATTTTATTTCACGAATACTAAGATTCAAGTAATAGTTTACCTAATAGGTAATATGTTTTTCTCACAAATGAAAATTGAGAACTGAGGTTGAAACCATGAGAAAAGTTAGGTATTTGAATTCATTTCTGGGCGGTCTGGAAGGGCTTCTAGGCCACACGTGGATGCTGGTCATATTTAGAGAACCACAATAATAATGGAGAAACACGTGCAAACGGGTGTGAGAATACCCAACACTTTAAAATGTTTTGTGAGCACCACTTTGCTAGTTCTCTCTCTCCCCGCTCTCCCCTCCCCTCCACCCCCCAAAAACCTCGTGGATCCAGAACCACTTGCATTTTGGGCCACTGTCATAGTTGGGTTGAAAAGATGTAATGGATCAAAACATGGGTGTTTTGGCGTAGGTCAACTATATTTCTGAATTAACTGAATATCACAATTAAAATAACACATCACAGTGCCCATGGGGGGCTCCAGTTGTTTTGGAAGCAGGGTTTTTAGATGCAGGGAAATTGGCAAGCCTGTAACTTGGATTTCTGTTTGCAGAGCTGATTTACAAAGAAGTAATGGATTGGGAAGAAAGAAGCAAGAATGGTGTCGTAAAAGACCAGCCTTCAGGTTAGTCATCGCCTTCCTGGTGTGACACACTTTTCTCCTCTTGTTTGGCTTCTGTAAACGGCAGCATGCATTGATGCCAGTTTTGCCGGTGCTGGATTTGAAAAGCCCTTGCTTGAACTCGTGTCCCCCATTCCGGTTTGTCCTAGGGGTGGCAGCTAACATTAACTGCGGGGCCAGGCAGCAGACTAACCACTAACCTTGTTATAAACATTCGTGTTTCATCCTTGCAACAGCTACTGTTAGCTACATTTATAGATGAGGAAACTGAATTTAAAGACTTTCAATGTGCGTTACCCTCTTTGTACTGGACCCACCCAGTTAAAAAAGAAAATTAAGGTGAATCTCGATAAAATGGAATTTGGCTTTCTCTTGAGAAAATTATTCATCTAGTTATCTCATTTTTCTCCTGGATCTACCTAGTGGTAGAAGCCTGACTAACTGCGAGGTAACTGTATGGTCATCAGAGACGTAACACGTGGTGTTAACTTCATCTGTAGGATGCTACATGTTTCCTAAGTGAAATTCTTCAGTTATATTTATTTCCTCACCCCCTCCCAGTGGGAAGCGTGCACACACACGCGGAGGTGCAGATAACACTGCTTAGTTCTTATTCCAGAATTTTCTACTCAGCATGACATATGTGTCAAGCGTCCGGAGGTTATAGAACTTCAGCACGAGTTTAGGTGCTTCTTGTTAACTAAGCACAAATTTCAGACTGCAAACGCTGACCTCTTAGAGCCTGGGTATTTTATTTTTGCTTAGACCAGACTGAAATATGGATAGTAGGAAATAGGATAGCTTCATTTGCCTTAAAATGTCAGTTTTGGGGATTTCTAAAACAAAGATGAAATGAACAAAGGGCCACTACATTTTTTTCCTTTTTTGTTTGTTTGTTTGTTTGTTTGTATACAACTCTTATTTTAGAAGGTGTTTTTATTGCAAAAGAATTCTTTAAAGGTCGATGCTTTTTTCTTTGGACTAAGTGTTTATGATTATAATTGAAATGTCTGAATCCTATTTGGGCCTAAGCCTTTTGTGATGCTGGTAATTTTAGGACAAATTCAGCAGTTTTCTTTTAATATCTTTTTAAACCAGCAGGTATTTTTAAGTAGTTAACATGATCATACATGAGTACATACATGATGCTTAGCCACTGGGAAGAAAAGGAGAATGTTGCAGGGGAAAATTGGAGTATTTGGGACTCTGGGCCAAAAGAAAGATGTCAGGAAAAGTTCAAAATGTACAGTTGACTGACTTCTTGTCTGTACTAATAGTTAGGATAGGAAAGTACAAAAGGACAGAGAGGAGTGGCCCAAAGTCTCACTGCCTGGATTTGCAGCAGTGTTGTGCCTCAGGTTTTATGATGTTTGGTTTTCTTAGCACAGATGCAGCAGTAAGTAGCCACGCCACTCCTTCTCAGTCGTCATCCATCAATGACATTTCATCCATGTCCACTGAGCAGACGCTGGCCTCAGACACAGACAGCAGTCTCGATGCCTCGACGGGACCCCTTGAAGGTTGTCGATGATGAGTTAGGAATAGCAAGCTTGTCGTCAGTGAGGATGTCTCGCCTCCATGGGCCTGAAATGCTCGGGAGTTGATGGAACCACATAGAAAAACCCCATGTTCTGCATGTAAGAAACACGACGCCTTGCCCCTGCTCAGTCCGATAGGGTTGCCTACCTAGATTATAAAATGAAGCAGGTTGTGTCTGAAGAAAAAAAGTGCAAGCCACACTTTTAGAGATTTTGTTCAAGGTCATTTCAGGTGAGCAATTAGAATGGATGATTTTTTTTTTAAGTTGTATGGTAATAGTAGTGACAATTTCTCATCCTCAGTAACTGTTGGGACTTATATGCATGTGACCACAAATGCTTGCTCCGACTTGCCATCTAGCACTTTGGAAATCAGTATTTAAATGCCAAATAGTCTTCCAGGTAGTGCTGCTTCTAGAATTATGTCTTAATCCTCTTAAGTACTTTGGTGTCTGTCCAAGAAAAATCGAATTATGTGTATTGATTGGCCACCATCGTATTATCATATCTCACCTTTTATGGTATGATTTATTCTATCTTTTGTATTTTGGAAGGAATATAATTAAATCTATTTAATAAAAAATAGAACTTTTCTTAAATTTGTCATGTTTGGGGCTGAGAATTATCCCTGCTAAAACCAAGACTCTTACATGCATACTTTGTCCTCTCCAGATCGACTTAGTCTGGGATGGTTGTACATTCAGCTTTACTGCATGATAAAATTTTAAGTTTTGTTTTGTGCTGCTTAAGACACATGTGCCTTTCAAATCCTATTTACCCTAACTCTTTTGTCCTGGTCTTCTTGACTAATTATTAATTAAAAATGCTACCTAGACATTCACCTTCTTTATTAGCCACCTAACAGTCCATTTCAGTAATATGATGGCAGATGGATCCTGAATCCGTTACCGGCTGTTAGAGTAGAATTTTAGGAAATGATCACTGAAGGTGACTGCAGGCGCCTACTCGGTGCTCGCTCTGCCCAATACGGGACCAGCCCATTCTGACCCTCCGTCATTCACGGTGCACATGACCTCACAAGGCAGCGTTTCCTTTTCCAACACAATGTCTTTACTCGATTTTCTTTCTTTACTGAAAGAAACCACCTAAATCCCCCTTGGTCTGTTGTAGGAAGCAGGACTGATTCTGAACGCTTGTTTGTTGTCCTCCACTTGGTGGAGGCATCTCCTTTTCCTCAGGGAAATCCATGAATGTTCTGGGAAAACTCTTTAGAGGGACACGGAGAAAATGCCCAAAGGAGTAGTGATTAACTAGTGACTATTTCCAGATTTAAAACTGCTCACCTGAAATTGATACTTTCAGAATTTTTGATGTGGAAATTATTCAAAATTCACTAAGATGCTGTGGATTGAAGTGTCACTGCAGAAATGGAGTTGTGGTGGTCACACTTTGGCTACCTGTGCTCACAATGCTTTTCCCTTGAGCTTATTCTGTTACAGATTCATATCTTGTGTTTAATTATTTTGGAAGCTGTTGGGTCAGTATTCTATAAAATTGTTCTGAGGAGGAACTTTGATAAGAAAGTTTATTATAAATATTATCTACAATATATGATTCTCTCTGACCCAGTTGTATTTTACCGGTTGGTCTTATCACTGGAAAGTGGAACCTTTGATGAGCAAAATTAATATTGAAATAATAAATCATTTTATATTGTGAGGCTTAGACACATTCAAGTATAAGATGGAAACACTAACTTGGACTGAGGCAGAAACATCTGTTACAGGACTGGAGACAATTTTGGTTTCAGAGGCCTGATGATATAGTGAAGAAAGTTACCACTATACATATAAAAGCATTGTAAAGTGGCCTTCTCTCTAACGTACATTCTTTTAAAAGACTTTACTAAATTTATCTTTAAAAAGAAAAAGAGAAGGGCTGAGGGCGCACTGCAGCCCCACTTTCCCAGGTGCCGCTGGTACGTGGAGCTGGGCGACCCACAGATTGGCTCCCTGCTCTCATTGCTCTGTGCATTCACGGAGGGAGCCTGCGTCAGTCCGGTCGGGTTTCCTGCTAAGGCCACCTTCCATCGGGTGGCGGCAAGTGCACCTGGGACAGGCCACAGGCTGCAGATGCAGAGCTCCGTGGGAACGCCTCGCGGCTCCCGGGTACCTGCTCCTGAGCGAGCTGTGCCGAGGTCCTGGTGCAGGGCACATGGGTTCAAACTGGTCACTATAGATGAATGCCGATGTGGATAAGAACTGAAAATGTGCTCAATTTTCATCTTCTGTATTTTATTTTTGTAATTTATATTGTACACAACCCTGGAAGTAACTATTTTGGACACATATTTTTATAAACCAGGTAATTTATTATTAGCCTGGAATTTGTTTGGTGGCTTCGTTTTCAGTCAAATTGGAAATGACTGCCTCCTCTATGCCGGGTCTTGACTTCAAGCGCAGGTCCAGAGAACAGACAGAGTCTGTCAGAGGGGCGAGCATTCTAGAAGCACGTGCTGATCAGCTGTGGCCCTGGAGATGAACGTACAACTCAGGCCTTATCTTTCGAATGAAAGGCTCAGAGCCGCAGGGCTGAAAGGAGAAGCCCTCAGCGGGGCCAGTCGCCCACAGCCAGGCCCTAGCCAGAAGGCTGAATGCGATGCTGGTTCCTCCGGATGTGAGGCTGTGAGGCCCAGTGGTAACGACCTTTGGGGTGTCCGCTGATTGCTAATGTGACGCCCCCTGGTGTTTCAGATTGGTAGTAAATACAGGTGTGGCCTTTCAGATCGCATCTCAAAAGTAACATTGCCTAATGTTTTATAATAAAATATATTATGTGTGTTTTGATTGGTGAAAATAATACAGATACATTTTAAAAGAGACGTGTATAGCATGTCCAATTATTGTGTGTTTTTAAGTGACAATTGACTGTATATTTCTACATCACCATCTCTAATTACAGATTTAACGTAAACATGGGTGGATGTTGGAGTGTCATCATTTCAATCAATATTAGCAATGGTTTTTAAATTGAAAAGCAAAACATTTCTGTTAGATCTCTTACTGAAAATATTCTGCAAGTTCCTGAATCTACGTGTTCAAAGTCACGCAGTACAAAGTCACATATTTGGAGCCTCGGAGTAATTGTTTGCACACAAGGTTTAGCCAGGAGACCCCACCGGGGGTGTGTCCTGGTCTCGCCCAAAGGCCCTCCTGGCGCCTGGGTGCTTGTGGTTTGTGCATTTGTGCACGGGATGGCACTTGGATTTCATTTTGGGTTTCAAGGCACTTTAGGACATCCAGTGCTCGAAACCTCAGGAGTGGAAGGGCCCTTAGGGGCTCACTGTCTTTTCTCTACTTAAAAGGGTGAGAGTCATTCCAGACCATTGAGTATCAATATTATTTTTAAAGGTCTCTGGAGAGGAAAAACATGTCTCTTGCTATTGGTCTGGGTTCCATTTGTCTTATCTCACCCGCTTCCCATTTTCAATGTAGACAGTACTGAAATACTTCTTATTTATTGACTGAAATGATACATGTGGGTGGGTGGGGGTTTGAGTGAGATAGTTGGATACTGTCCAGAAGATTCATTCTGTGGCTACTTGTGTGAATTTGACCACAAGGTTACCTTTGACAATAAGGCAGTTCTTTGATATTTTTTTGCTTTTAAGCAGGAAAGTTGGTAACTGAAGCAGTAATAATAGTGACAGAATGGCCAGTCACGTCTCCTTGAGGCCTTAAATGACAATGATTTAAGAGGGATGCATCTGTCACCACCATTGGGAACTTTTCATTCGCTATGCCCTCAAGGCGCAGAGCCACACACTCCTTCACAGTTTGAAAGATAAAAGTTTTGGGGCCCAGGGTCCTTGTTAGCAAGGAGTTGGCCACCAGGCTTTCTCTGCCTTGGGGCTTTAGAGTTGGGGGAAAGCCAGAATCACTTCTCTAACCCCCCACCCCCACACGATAACCAGAAGGCCGCAGCCTCTGGCCTGGTCAGGAAGAGGGCCGCAGGTTGCCCTCAGAGTGTAGATCTCACTCTTAGTCATAGACACCTTTGAGATGCTAATGAAAACTGACCTTATCCCTAGATGAATGCCATGAGCACAATTTTGCCTAACTTTCCAAAGAATCCTGGACCCTGGTGGGCGCCCCATTAAGAGCTTTCTAGAAGCAGCTGCTCCATGCTTCCTGTTCTCAGCAGGAGCGGAACCTGCAGGAGGGTTTTGGGGCCTGTTCTACCTCTGACACTTTTACACAGTTCTCTGGACATCTTCACTCTGAGCCCCAGCACTAGCTGGTATTCTTATGCGGTGCCAAAAGAGAACAGAGGGCTTAGTTATAGTGAAATAGATTGTTTCCATCATTCCTTCCTTCCACAGTGCATGACTGAAAGGTAGGAGCTGGAGGCTTGTAATACAGATTCCTAGAGACAGAATTAAGTGCATCTCTTCCTTTTAAAGAAGTCGTTCTGGGGCCAGCTGAGTGGCTCAGTTGGTTAAGAGCTCACTCAAAGGTTTGAGCTCTGAGCAACAGCAGTTCGAGTCCGGCCCGAGCTGAGCTGCCACTGAGCTGCCAACAGGTGGCAGGATGGCTCAGCTAAAAAAATAAAAATTAAAAAATTAAAATAAAGAAAATAAAGAAGTCATTCTGTGTGGAGCTTTGGAACAAACTCTTAACTACCTAAATCCCTATTTTAAATTGTTGATTCTCCAATAATGTTGTCTCTCCTTCTCCCACAACTTCCCTGAGACTTTCTTAGAATTTTTACAAGCATGCTTTAAAACGAATTTTATTTACACGCTTGAATGTTATGGAGAGTGAGAATGGATGGAGACGTTCTCTGATTCACATCCCCATTCAGGGCAGGAATCGACCTGAAGAGGTCACCTGGCCTCTGCTCAGATGGTTTTAATAAGGGTATGCCCTTCCTACTGAATTTTTTGTAGTTTTGACTGTTTGAAAGTTCTCTCTTAAACTGGACTAAAACCTGGCTCCCACAACTTCCAGCCATGGGTAAAATAGGATGAGTTGGACCCATCTTATGAGACATGCTTTAATACATTAGGTGGAAAGGCAAGCTCCAAGTATTCCCTTCTCTACACTAAACTCAAAGTTCTCCCAGCCCTTTCATATGAAAAAGCGTCAGAGCCTTACCACCTTGGTGCACCCTAAAAGTATGGGCCCAGAAGTCAACATATTGTAATATTCCAGATACAGCCTGAGCAGCGCGTCCTCCAAACAAGGGCCACAGACTAATTAACGTAGCCTCAGGTGTCCTTCGCTTTAACAGCCGTGTCACACTGGGAGCCCGAAGCCCATCAGAATTACTGGATTTTGTGATGTTACAGTTAATCCTGATTCTGTCATCCTTCATACACATTCTCTTGGCCAGCTTGTGACACCCATCAGCTTTTTGAGCATGAACATCCTTTCTGAAAATTCATCCAAGTGACAATTAATAGTCTTGAGTGGCAGGACAGCCTTAAGGCAGACCCCAGCAGTCTCAGTGACAGGACCCATGTGGCCAGTGCTTTGTCACCTCCTCAGGGGGCCCCTCAGCTGCACAGCATCATGTTCAGCCCGTGTGCAGTGTTGTCTTGCCATGCGCTCCCGAAGGACCTGGCCGGACACTTCGCAGAAGTGATGAACATGCTCCAGCAGCATTCTTGATCTACTCCCTGGTCACATTTCAAGAAAAGCAATGAGTTTGGCACCGTGCACTGGTTCTCAGAGTTCCTTCTTTGTTTTCTCTTGTGGGGAGCCGGTGGTGAATGTCAGCTTTCCCGTCCACATCCACATGTTTGATATCCTCTGGCCAGTTGTCCCAGGGTGCATAGGCCGGTGAGTGGGGAAGGGGACAGGGCGGAAGCACATGGTGGCTTTATTCTGTCTCCGTGTGAATAAGGAAGTGACGTCCTGAAATCTGTGTAGCTGCAATCCCACAAAGGGCCGGGCAGCCTGACACCAGCATCCCCGTGTCCTGTTGACTATGGAACTGTGTCCGTGGGGCATGGCCTGGCTCACGCTGCATCTGACTTCAGCTCTTGGTCACCTTGCCTTTGTTGCTTCTTTGTTTTTCTTTTCAACTAATAGCAGCCATGCTCGTCGGTTTTTATTTGATTTTAATCTGGGCTAGAGCTTTATTCAGATTTTCACTAATAATTAAGTTTGGGCAGCTCTCCATTTCAAAGTTGATTTCTTAGGTTTTTTTAAGCAGTAAATTATCACACTAAAGATGCTAAGGCATCTTAAATACATTTATCAAAATGCAAGACAGATTTTTGAAAGGGAGTTCAGTGTTCAACTCGGGAGCTTGACAAAAGAGCAATGGAGTCAGCCCAAAGACACAAAGAAATGAGGAACAATAAAGAAAAGGGCAGGGACAAGAAAGCACATTGTGCATGTGAACTTACTTCATCTCTCTGCATTTCCTATGAGGCCGGTATTATCTCTATTGTAAAGTCAGGGGCCAGAGGTAAGAAGAGGAGATGTGGGCAGAGGCCTGAGGCCAGCGGCTGGCACCAGGCCCCATGCTCTTGGCTGCTAAGTGTTCTGGGGGCCTCCAGAAAACCTGGATGGGCCAAAAACCATCAGAGAAAGGGAAGTGGTCATCAAAGGCCAGCCCCACCCCCAAATACTCTCCAAGACACATCAATCTTACGGGTCAGTTTTTACTCAACTTTCAAGACACAGGCAAACCCTGTCGTATCCAAGATTGTCAAGCCACCCAACTCAGTTTAGGAGGCTGCTATCATCTTGATAAATTGGATAAGGACAGGTCAAAATCACATGGCCTCTTCACAGATGGTAACTGAATCCAGCATCTTATGGTTTATTCCAAAATGCAAGGGTGACTCAACACAACTGTTTCAATAAATAACCTATTTTTGGTTGTTTGGGTTTTATGCTCAGAAAATTCTGAGCATAAAAAAAGAAGCTTCCTTTGGCCTTTGGGGAGTGGCAGGGCTTGTTCGGGGAAGAGCAAGAGAAGGCCACAGATGTCAAATGTCCCAAAATCACCTCCTGATGGGAACCAAAGGGAGGGTACGGACGCTCTCCATATGCGCGTGTGTGTGTGTGTGTGTGTGTGTGTGTGTGTGTGTGTGTGTGTGTGTGTGCGCGCAGGTGTGTGTGTAACAGAAATTCGTGGTATAACACCAGTGTGGTACCGCCTGGTACCCAGCTGAGCCAGAGTAGCTAGGGCTGTGGACCAAGGCTGAGCCTGCTGAGTGGAGCCAGGCTCCACGACAAGACCCAGTGCGTGTGTCCCTTTAGCCTGCGATTCCCTCCCCCTCCCCCCAGCTCTAGAAACAGCGAGCAGCCCAGGGAAACCCTGTCGCCTCTGCGCAAATCAAAGTGCATTCTTCCCTTCAAGGACCATGTCAGGACCCCTCAGCTGGGCTGTGGTGCTTCCCCAGGATCCCCACTTGCAGGACCCCTCCTGTCCCCTTGTCCCCTCACCCAACCACATGCCATTCTTTCAGTCAATTGCAACAACCGCCCGCCAAACCACCCCTGAGCCATAAATAAGACACACATGTCTGCCTCTGGAGACCGCCCTCTAAGGCTGCAATCAAGTACTTAATCCGCCTGAGCTGACAACCAAGGACAAGTTGCCTGGGTGGAGGAGGACCTGATCCTGCAGACGTCACCCCCAAAAGGTAGTTCAGCTCTGTCCCTTTCTCCACCTCATCATCACCTGCCTGCCGGCGTGGGGACAAGGTCTCCTGGCCTCCACTCTTGTCTTCATCCCACCCTGGAATGAGCCTCCTAGGATGCAGCTGTGACTACCATGTCACTGCCTCCATGGGTCCCCACTCCACGCTGCTCACACACACCTTTACTATTATATGATCAAGGTGGCCAGTATCACATTTAGGACATCTGAATATCCTAAAACCACCTGTGCTTTTTCTGCTGGTCAGTTCTAAGCAAGGGAAGGTTGGTAGGCCATGTTAGCGCTGTGGTGATGCTG